GAACACTAAAATACAAAACAAAATTAATTGACTTTTGTCTTTGATTATGTCTTGAAACTACAGCCTGCCAGTGTATGATACGAAAGTAAAATTCTCCTGTTATGTTTTTTCTATTTTATTTAATATTCAACAATTTAAAACTGAGGACTTTATTGCTTGAAATAGGCTTCTTAACGTACAAAATTTTTGCATATATTTACCCATATAATTGAAAATTTCAGAGCAGGTAATACATTAATGTTCAGTAGTAAAACTTGAACTGTGAGAAATAATGTAATCAGAATGCTTTCAACAGAGTCCCTCTTACCTAAAAAGTCTTGGTTACAGATATTTTCCAGATATATGAGATACTTTTTCTCCATAACCCAAATATCAATATCAATAATCTCTCTTTTAAAAATTATGTTTATAAGATTAACAACAAAAGCAAAAGTGTTAATATCCTGTGATAGTTATAGTTTTTGAGGCTTTAAACACCAACTCCAGAAAACAGATAAATAGAATTAATGAGGTAGAAACCAGGAAATAGGAATATGTGGATCACTTTGTTAGAAAACAATTTTTTAAAATACAATTTGGCAAGAACTCCTTTTGAAGTAATATAATATGTAATTTTTATAAATGTACCCTAAACTGCTTAGAACATAAACTAAGATAATCTAGTACAGGGCTGTCAATAAAATTTTTTGTGATGATGGAAATATTGTACTTTGCACTGTCTAATAGGGAAGCTGATAGTTACAGGCTCTTGAGCATTTGCAAAGTGGCTGATGAAATGGAGAAAAAAAATTTTAATTTTATTTAATTGTAATAAATTTACATTTAAGTAGCCACCTATGGCTAGTGGCTACCCAACTGGACAGCACAAATCTAGAGGAGGATGATGATGGTTAAGATATTGGCTAAAATATCTGAGTTTAGCTGGGTAAGATATTGGATAAAAAGGTCAAAATGCAAAGAAGCACAAAAAGAATTTTCTTGTACTTTAGTATAAGATCTATAAGAACATAAAATAAGAGAAGCTGTAGCCAAGTAGAATATGGTTTAATCTGTGCAGTTGACACACAGTATACATAGAATGTGACCTAATGCAAAGGTATCATTAGTTAATAGAGAACCCAGCTTTTCTCATGACTTCTCACACTGACCAGAACAACCATCAAGCCCCAATGGCCCATTGTTATTACAGTCCTACGTGAATATACTGTACAGATATACTATACATGAATATAAGAGCTGCACGAATACACTATATTTACTCAAAGATTTGACTGGTTATCTCTCCAGGGAACTTAATGCTGTACAGCCAAAGTTTGCCAGTTTATTGATTTATTCTTTCCATGCTCTTTGGCAGACATTGTCTATTGGCTGGCTCCACCCCAATTCCTAGTTACTAGAGGTAGCTTTATGGCCTAAATTTCCTGGGAAAGCCATTGCTTTCCTGAAATAAGCACTGCCCCTTCCCCTTCTTTTTCCTGCTGGAATGTACTGAAGGAAATGACAAGAACATGAAGACTTGAGGGCTGACATTGCTGAGCCTCTGAGCCAACATCAGCATCTGCCTATTTCTAAACTTCTCATTAAGTGAGACAAATAGACCTTTATTAGGCAAGCTACTGAACTTGGGTTTTCTGTTACTTTAAACTGAAAGCAATTCTAATGAATGCATTTTTCTTCCATGTTGAGTTACTGGCACACCAAAACACTTATAGTTATTTTTTACTTGCTCGTTTATCTATTTAATCAGAAATTTTTTGGGAGGTGGGTACTTACTATATGCCAAGCTAAGTGCTAGGTAATATAGTGGACAAGCAGCCATTGTGCATAGCTTCACAGAGTCAACATTCTCACAGGAGACTAAGACCAGCAAACACTTAACCACAGTGTAGTGAGATAAGCACTATAATAGGGGGCCTAAAGAGCTTGGGCTTTGGAGTTGGTAGCCAGAGAAGGCTTCCTGGAGGAATCGGCATTTACCCTGAGACCTGGATTATGTGTATA